CGGGGGGGGGGGGGGGGGGCGCAAGCGTGGCGGGTGCAGGTGCGGGGCGCGGGGTGTGGGTTTCGCAGGCCTGTGGACGCCTGCTGGGTTACGTTGGTGCCTGCGCTGCCGGCTGGGTGGCAGCTGTGTGTGCTGAGCAGCACGCAAGGGGAGCAGCACGCAAGGTGCAGTCAGCGCAGGCGGCGGCTTGCCTGCCACATACACGTTGAAGGTCAGCCCGCGCTCGGGGCAGTGAACCTGCTGCTGGTGGTCAAAGTAATCTGACCAAGGCAGAGGCAGGGGCAGGCTGGTGTCCCGGGGCACGGCTGCCGCCTGCTGGCCGGCCTCGGCGTCGCAGCCGGCGTGCCGCGGCGCGCCTGCACGCAGGGGAGGTGCGGCGCCAAGCGAGCGCCCAGGGCATGAGATGCGATGACCACCCCCCTGTGCTGTCTGGCGCTTTGGCGGTGCATCGTACGGCGAGCGCAGGCAGGCGCACACCGCCAGCCAGCCACCGGGGAAGCGCAGAGCCCCCGCCCGCACCTGCCGCCCCCGCCAGGAGCGCGGCCCGCCGCAAGTCGCCGCCGGGGGGTTTTGGGGGAGGGGGCGGCATGCCCGACATTGCTGGTGATGTGCGACGGCCTGGTGATGTGAGACGGCCTGAGGGGCTCCCTTTGCAGTCGCCGGCGATCGGTGGAGAGAAAACATGCACGCCTGGCGCCCTCACACCGCGTTTCACTGCCTGCAATTTGATTCACATGCAAGCACCCAAAGTTGGAATGCCTGCCGATGCATCGCCAAAGTCCTTCATCTGCGGTCGCCAGTCAGCAGGCCCCCCGGCCGGATCTTGGGCCTTTGCAAGCCAACAGCGCTGCTTCCTGCATTGCTCTCCTGTGCGTGTTGGCAGGCGCTGCTCGCCTGTCTTGCCCTGAAGGCGTTGCCACACACAGGTGGCCGCCAAAGACAGCCACTCCCACAACTCACGCCAGCCCCCGCACCGGCCTGGAGTGGCCACGCCCACACACAACACACCCCTCCAGTCGCAGCCGGGCAGCAGGCGTGGCCCCCCGGGCTCGGGGCGCGCTGCGAGATGGCCGAGCGAGGAGGCGACTCGCAGCTGGCGCGTGACCACAGCTTGCTGCTGGTGAGTGGAGGCTGGGCAAGCGGACGCCGCGGGCAACGCGGCCCCCCCGACCATCCCCTGCTGCCGGCTTCCCCAGCGGTCGCCTAGGCGGCGCCGCGTACGCTGGCCGTGTGCCCAGCGCCAGCCCAGCTGCCCTGCCAACCATGCATGCCCCTGCCATCTCTCCTGCAGGAGGAGCGGCTGGATGGCTTCTTCCGCTCCGGCGGCAGCCACGGTGAGTGCCGCTGCCGCTACGGTGTGTGTACTAGCCATACGTTGGGCAGCTGCCGATGGCACATACTACGTCCCAGGGAGGAGCAGCTTGGATTTTTGAATGGCAGTCCCAGCTGTCGCATTTTACACCGCTGCACATGATTCATGCGAACCACATCAATTGCCTCTGGTGCCGCCGTGCCTACTTGGACCCCTTGTTCGTCGGCAGCCACACAATCAGCTGCTGTGGCTCTTTTCCCGTGCCTGCCGGGCAGCTGCCGCTGCCCACCAGTTCCTGGCTGTTTCTCGCTCTTGCCTCTGTGCAGCTCAGCCCGGCTGCTGCCCTGCTGCCTGTTGTGTTTGCGCCGCAGGACCCACCAGCTTTGCCGGCCTGGGGCTGGGCCTGCAACCCACCAAAGTGAATGAGTATGCATCCCTAGGTGGGTGCCGGCTGCTGCGTACAGCGCACATGGGGCTGCCTGGGTTCGGGGGCTTGTGCTGGAGAGGTGGGGTATGGGGGTGGATTGTCAGCTTGGTGGGAGGCCATCTGAGGCTGCTGCCTGCTCCAGGCCGCCGGCTGCCGCCGGCTGCCGCCCTGGAGCTGACCTGCGCCCTGCCCGCGCCTTGCAGCCGGGCCCGACGACGACGAGGGCTCCCGCCGCCAGCCGCTGGCGCGCTACGTGTCCAGCCTCAGCCGGGTGCTGCCCTCAGGGGTACAGCTGGAGCTCATAGATGTGATGCCACCGCCCGCGCCGCGACCCGCACCACCGCAGCAGCAGCAGCAGCCGGCAGAGGCGGAGCAGCCGGCAGGCCAGCAGTTGCACGGCTGGCTGGACTTGGAGGCCGGGCGGGGCCAGCAGCAGCCGCGAGAGCAGCATCGACAGCAGCAGCAGCAGCGCGCGCAGCAGGCCAAGCGCGAGGCCAGCCCCGCGCCGCCGCCGGCGCCCGGCACGCAGCAGCAGCAGGTGCAGGCGATGCCTGTGCCCGGCAAGCCTCTCAAGATCCGGCTGAAGATTCCCCGCGCCGGCAGCGAGCCGCGCACGGCGCCGCCGGCTGGGCAGCCGGCAGCGGCACCGCCGCGGGCCGACCAGCAGCAGCTGCTGCAGGCGGTACGCCAGCTGGGCTCCAACCCGCTGCTCAGCCCCATCCCTGCCTGCTGGGCTGAGACGCTGAAGCTCAGCCCCGCCTCGCAAGGAGCGGCACGGCAGCCGCCGCAGCAGTATACCGCTGCGGCCCCGGCAGCGCAGCAGCAGCAGCAGCCCCTGGGCTCGCCGCCCGCGGCTGTGGTGGTGGCGCCGGCGGGGGACAAGGTCGCCTCACCCTTTGCGCCGCTGTCGGAAGATGTGTTCGAGCCAGCGGGTGGGGACAAGGAGAGGCGGCGGCGGCAGCAGGGGGCTGCCGCGCCGCAGCGGGCGCCCTCGCCGCCATCGGGTGCCCAGGGCACCAAGCGGCCAGCCGAGGAGGCAGCGCTGCCGGCAGCACGCGCGGCGTCGCTGCCGGGAGCAGCAGCACAGGCGCCGCGGGCAGCAGGCGGGTCGCCCCAGCTGAAGAGACGGCGCTCAGACGCTGCTGCAGCCGTGGCTGCCAAGCCTGGTGCAGACGGAGCTTCAGCGCAGGGACTCTGGGCTACCCACAAGCAGGGGGAATCGGGGCTGCCACCAGCCCCCATTGTTGCAGCAGGTGGCGGCGGCTCCCGTGCCGGCTCGCCAGCCAGCCCCGCAGCCCCCGGCAGCAGCACCCAGGGCCCATCCACTGCCAGAGCTTCAGAGGCCCATCAGCAGCGTGCCATGTCGCCGGTGCAGGCGGCGCCGCCCAGCGTGCCGGCAGGCGGCGGCCTGGCTGCGGTGGCGGCGCTGCTGCCTGCCGTGTTTCACACGGCAGCCACCAGCAGTGCCACGCCCGCCAGTAGCACGGTGCAGGAGCTGCAGGCGAGCGCACCTGCTCCTGCCACCTCCTTGTGCTGCTGCCGCCTGCCACATGCACTGCGCTGCTGCCTTCCGCTTGCGGGGGCTTTGGCTTGCTCCCTCGCCGTCTCACGCCTGCTTGCCCGCCTGCCTACCTGCCTGTGTGGCCTCTCCCCTGTCTTGCTGCCCTGCAGAAGGAGGGCAAGAAGCTGAAATCGTTTGCAGAGAAGCGGATGAAGGACGGCAAGCCCACCCACATCAGCAGCATGTTCCTGTGCCAGGTCAGCGCCTGCTCCATACCCCCCCTCGCTCTGCGCCGTTGCACGCGGCAGGCAGCCGTGCCACTTCCCCGAGCCTGCTGTCCTGCCCCCCTCCGCACCGACTGCCCCGGCCCTCCGCTGCGCTGCCTCCTGAGCTCCTCCGTGCTCTGCCTCCCCCGCCCTCCTCCCTCGGCGCCCCCCTGCAGAGCTGCGTCAAGTTTCTGGAGGTGGCGGCGGCCATGGAGGCCCACCCAGCAAAGTTCTCGCGGGACAAGTGAGTGGGCGGGTGGGCGGGTGGGGTGGCGGGTATGGGTCACCTCTGGGGGCACGTCCTTGTAGCTGCGCTGCGCCTGCGCCGGGAGGGCCGTGCTCACGCAGACGGCCTGGTTGACCGGGCAGGATGGGCCCCAAGCGCCGGCGCCGGCCCGCCTGCTGCCCTGCCCCTGGGCGTCAACACGCGCCGCCCTGCCCTGCCCCGCCCTCTCCTTCCCTCCCTCCCTTCCACCAACTCCCTCCAACTCCCGCCCCGCCGCAGCACGTCGAGCATGTACAGCCAGACGGCAAGCCTGCTAGATGCGTGTGCGCATAACGCTGCGCGCGCCGAGGGCCCCGCCGCCATCACCGCCGCCATCTCGCTGCTGGCGGAACGCCTGGCGGCGGTGGCGCGCCTGCGCGCCGCCTTCTGCCTGCGCGCCGAGGGCGCGGCGCAGGCGGCGGCGTTCAAGGCGGCGCTGGAGCGGGGGTCTGGGGAGACGTACCAGCGCCCCTCGCCCACCGACAGCAACACCAGCACCTCCATCTCGCTCCCGCTGGAGCCCGCCGGCAGCGGCAAGCAGGCGCGGGCGGAAGGCAGGCAGCCGGGCGCCGCCGCGCCCGCCGCAGCCGCCGCCGCTGCGAAGCCCGCGGCGGCGGCCGCCACGACGGGCGGCGTGTCGTATGCCGGGTCTGTGGGCTCGTGCGCGGCGGCAGCGGCGCTGGTGGGCATGCCCAAGGTGCTGCTGGAGCGCCAGCTCATGGCGGCGCAGCACTCGCACCTTGTCTTTCAGGCGCTCGCCTCGTTCGGCAAGAGCGGCGAGAGGCTGCGGCAGTACATGGGCCAGGCGGCGGCGCAGGTGCGGCCGGCAGGCGGGCGGAAAACTGCGGTGCGGGCGGCTGGGTGGGGGCAGGCAGGCGGCCGGCGGCGCCGGTCTGTCCTGGTCTGCCGGCCAGCCTGGTGCCGCTGCCGACCTGTCCGCGGCACAGCCCAGCCAACCTGTTGCGCTGCACTGCCTGCTGCCTGCCGAGCCACCTCCCTGCCTGCCCCCCTCTGGCACCGCCCGCTGACCCGCCCTCCGCAACCCTCTTCCCACCCCCGCCTGCCTGCCGCCCGCAGAGCAGCGTGCACGGCCTCAAGGCGGCGGCCGCCTCGCTGCTGCTGTCGGCGGATGCGGGCATGGGCCCAGCCGGCGCCGTGCTGGGGATGGCCAAGGAGGCGCTGGATGCTGTGATGGCGATGCAGTAGCATCCTCGCTGTGTAGTAGGTGTACTGACATCCTGCTGCAGGCCCGCCCACCTCTCTGACCTGTCTCCGTCTTTTCCATGCGCCCGTCTGTCGCCCGCGCCCCACACGCTTGCTGCCATCTCGTTGTCTGAGTTGGGGCAGCGTGCGGGTCCCGTCCCGTCCCTCCTGTCGCCCTTGCACTCTCAAAGTTTCCTCCCCGCCCCACTGCAATCAAGCGTTATTTCTTGCTGCAGCTCAGCGATGTCTTCTTTTCCGCCTTTCCCTTCCTCCCGCGACTGCTGACAGCCGCAGTTTTTTGAACCCAGCTCTGTACCCAACCCAGCCAGGGTGCGCTCAGGGCCGCCTCGCAGCATTTGCAGCGTCAATGCTGATACCTCCTGTCCCTGCCTCCTTATTGCTCCCCTCCCTAGCTAGCTCTTGAGAGTAGGAGCCGCCCGGCGCTCCTCACACATGCTGCCCTACCCTATCCTTCTTGCCCTGGTCGCCCATCCTGTGACCTCGCTTTCATCGCTTCAACAACTGACACTTTGCTCGCGGCCTAGTCGCCGGCCTGAGCAACAAAGCCCCCCTCTCTATCCTGAGCCCTGCCCGGCATTCTTGGGCTGGGGCCACGGCGCACCGTGTGCGCCTGAATAAACGCAACCCCGCTCGGCCCTAGCGCAATGTTCACTGCTAGCCATCAAACGACACTTGCCAAGACCCCATGTACCTTCGTAACCACAGCAAAGATGGCGGCGCTGATCGCAGCCTGCTCCTGCCTGCCCTGTACAGTCTGTACCAGTCTCTGGCTGTCACACAGTGGCATGTGTCATGGCATGGCATCAATAGAATCCGCAGAGCCGCAGGATTTGTCGGTTGCGGCTAATGGGGCAGCACAGGGCTTGCGCGAGCGGTTGGGTTTGAATTTGAGGGTGAGATCAAACTGCAGGCACACGCAGCTGTGCCACAGCCACGCGCACAGCATGAGCAAAACAAATAGGGCGCATGCAGGGAACAGCCACATCGCAAGCTGGTTTGATGCCAGCTGGTTGAAGCCCACCAGCGTGGCCGCGGCGGCAAAAGAAAGAATGGAGGCCAGCATGAAGCTAAGGGACCAGGCCAGGCTGTCGCGCATGCAGAGGAAGATGTGGCGCTGCCAGCCGGCCAGCTTGGCGATGTGCAGGAAGTAGTGCTGGGGATTCTGTTCCAGCTCCTCCTGGATCGCAGTCAACTGCGACTTGCGCAGTGCCACCAGCATCGGCGTCATGCCCACGATGATGATGGCCGCCAGCGCCGAAAACAGTGCCATGGCATTGAGGATGAGGAAGGTGGTGACCAGCTGCTGGTCCAAAAAGGATGTGAAGGCGACGCCTTCCAGGCTGGTCTGGTTCAGGCTGATCACAAAGTAGGTGCCGATGGCGACGCTAGCCAGCAGCGCAGAGATGAGGCCGACATTGTCCAGCGCCGCCTGTGCGGCCATCGTGCTCTGCTCGTAGTCGGGCACGGTCGCCTTAGGCGCCGCCAGCTGCACCTCCTGCCTGATGAGCAGCAGGGATTTAACAGTGCGCGGCTCACCCCAGATTCCACAGCCCCATTTCCCATTGACAATCGGATTGCCCTTGGCGGGGAACAGGTCTATTTGACGGGTGAACGCCATCGCCGTCGCAACATCGTCCGCCACAGCCATGCTGTCGTCACGACAATGGCGTTCATTTCGCTGCCATCGAATGGCCACCCCGCGACCCTTGCCGCCGCATGCCAGGGCTGTGCCATTGGTGTCCAGGGAGAGATGTAGGTCCACCAGGAGCACCGAGTTGACCAAATGCTCGCTGCGCAGTTTCCCTTTCGCTCGCTGCAAGTCCACCAGCACTAAGCGCACAGCTTCGAGTCGCCAGCTGCAGCTGCCTGGGCCCGCATCCGCTTGCTGGGGCACAAACTTGCCAAACACGGTCTCAATCGATCCTTGAATCAGTTCCACATCGAGATTCTCGTCTGCAGGGAGGGCCCCAGATGCGGATCCATGGACATGCGGTGTTGATGTCAGCATCAGGTGGGTTCACAAGCCAGAAGCTGCCCGCAGCAGCGAGCGGGAACGCGACGGCAGGCGGCTGCCAATGCGGGCGATTCCATGCAGCAACTGGCTGCACTGCACCGCTGCAGGCAGTTCACCGTGATCGTTTGTGGTGGGCTGCTCCACATAAACCAACAACTTGTTTCTCTCGGATGGGAACATCAGCTGGGCCTGCTCGCCGTCATCGAACAGGCAGCGAGCCTCCTCCTGGGACACCTTGGTGTAAAACTCGTTCAGTTTATGGTTAGATATTGGCATCTTCGCTTGGTAAACGTCCAAGTCGACCTTCACGTCCAACAATCGATAAAGCCCGGAAGCGTCCTGCCGCACCATGCACATCTGCCTAAAGCCATCGTGGCTCTTCGGCGCCAAACGGGGAATGCAACAGGGCTAGGCGGAGTCAGGGCCACATGTTGCCCGCTGATGTGGCACCTCCCCCGATTCGTCTGGCTCATCAGGCACGCTCTCTCCCGCGATCCCTCCCTTTCCTTCGCCTTTCAGAGTCTCTAAGGCTTCTATTTCTCCCCTCCCGCACCCCGCAGCTGCCGCAAATTTAAAATTATGAACCAACCTGTCATCCTTTATGCCTTAGAACGGCGCCAAAACGGCGCCAAGAATGTGTTTCTCACTAAGTCAGATGTAGAGGGCATCATCCGGATCAAGCAGGGCGACCAGCAGGCGCCCTCAGGCCGGCGGCGGCGGGGTGCGGGAGGGGGGGCGGCAGTGCAGGGCGGCACCAAGAACTACAGCAAGAAGGTGCTGCAGTTCTTCCAGGTGCTGAAGGGCGCTGGCGGTCAGGACATCCTGTGCCGCTGCGTCAAGCGCAGCGGAGAGTGGCGGTGGTGCCCCGTGGTGCCGCTCGAGGAGCTGCCCCGAGTGATCAAGGAGCACCACGAGCGGGCGACTGGCTTCAGCGGTGTGGGCGGCACTGTGGCTGTATAACCGGTAAGGGTGGCAATTGCAAGAACCATTGAAAAAGTGTGCCTTGTACGCTTTGCCGTCTCCGCTGGAAGGTGCTGCCGCCTGTGGCGGCTTCATATTTCCTGTTCATTTCTGTTGTTCGGTCTCTCTGTTCGTGTTGGTTGGCTTGTAAGAGTTGTATTTCTGACGCTAGAGAGGTGAGATGACAGCGGGAGCGTTGAAGCGTGCATGCCATCACGTGTGCAAGCAGCCCCGCTCCGCCCCGCTCAACCCTCAAACAGGGCTATATGGGGTCAGTTCACGTATGGGAGGGGAGCGCCGCGCGGGCTGCCAGGAGGGAGCGGGGGCGGGGGTTGCCCAATCGGGAGGGTGCCACATCAGGGGGCAACACATGCATGTGTGTGCCGCCAGGCGGCGGAGTGTGCTGACAGCAGGTCCCGCCCATGCTGTCACCTTGTGCAGGCACTGGCGACGGGAGTGGCATCGAAACCAACACAGCTTCAGTGCCAGCCCCCGACTCGCCGCCAGAGCCGCCGGCCCCCGATTCGCCTCTGGAGCCGCCTGCGCCTGACTCACCTTTCGAGCCGCCTGCGCCTGACGCTCCTCTGGAGCCGCCTGCGCCTGACGCACCTCTGGAGCCGCCTACGCCCTTCACGCCACCAGAGCCCTACATTCCGCCGCTGCCGCCCGAGCCGTACACTCCTCCCGCGCCAGTCGAGCCCGATGCGCCGCCTGCGCCAGTCGAGCCCTACATTCCGGCGCCGGTCGAGCCATACATACCCGCACCGGTCGAGCCTTACATCCCTGCGCCGGTCGAGCCATACATACCCGCACCGGTCGAGCCTTACATTCCTGCGCCGGTCGAGCCTTACGTGCCTGCGCCGGTCGAGCCTTACGTGCCTGCGCCGGTCGAGCCTTACGTGCCTGCGCCGGTCGAGCCTTATGTGCCTGCACCGGTCGAACCTTATGTGCCAGCCCCCGTGGAGCCTGACGTGCCGGCACCGGTCGAGCCTTATGGCCCGCCGGCACCCGACGCGCCAGTCCCTGGGACGCCGTACGGCCCTCCAGCGCCCGACACACAAGATCCCGGGACGCCGCTCGGCTCGCCGGCACCCGATGCGCCTGTGCCAGGCACCCCCCTGGGCCCGCCGGCACCGTTAGGAGAGCCGTCGCCACCGCCGCCGCCCACCGATGTGCCAGAGCCTCCCACGGAACAGTCGCCGCCGCCGCCGCCAGATGCGGTTCCTGCCCCCGATGCGCCCAAGCCAGGCAAGCACCGCACGCGCAGCGTCTTCAGCCCTCCTGCGCATGCCTGGCCGACACGGCGCCCCATGCATGCCGTGCCGTGCTCCCACCCTCCACCACCTCTCCACGCTCACCCAGCTCCTGCCTGCCTCCTGCGCACCCCCACCTCCGTGCCCCCACCCCCGCTGCTGCGCTGCAGTGCCCAACTACCGCGTGGGAGGCAGCGGAGGCTTCTATTTCATCGACAACGACAACAACCTGTTCCTGTTCCACAACGACGAAGTCGTGGGGCCCGCCCCGCTGGCCGGCCTGTATGAACTGGAGAACGGCGGCGGCGCGCCGTCGCCGCCGCCCGCGCGCCGCCTGCTGTCCCTGCTGATCGCCTGGTCCGGCGGCCAGCAGAGCCAGGCGCGGCAGCGGCGGCGCAGGCTGCAGCAGGAAGAGGACAGCCTGACGATCGTCAGCACGGACACGGATGGGGCGGTGGTGTGGATCGTGCTGGGCAACGGGTGAGGCTGCTGGGCGCTGAGCTCTAGCCGCCGCCCCGGGCCGCCACGCGCCTGCGCCTCGCCCACCGCTTCTGCGCTTTGCCACGCCCCACGCTCACGTCCCATGCCGTGTGCTGCCGCCTGGCCTGCGTTGCAGGAATGTGTACTCCTATCCCGTGGCTGACCCCAATGCCGGCTGGCAGGCGCGGGAGGCTGCCAGCCCCGCCAGCTTTGTCAGCATCGCCAGCAACGGTGCGCCCCGACCCTCTCTGCTGCCTCTGGCCGGCCAGTCTTGGCTGGCAGCGGCTACTTGCCTGCCATGTGGCACAAGCTCTGCCCTGCATTCCGTGGCTGCTGCCCGATGCCCGAACCCGCACGCTGATGAGTACTGTGCCCACCGTCTGCAGGCGAGGTCTTCTTGATCGACCAGTCGGGCACCACTCTCATCTGGTACCAGGATGCCTCCGCCACCAACACGCCCAAGAGGTGCGTGCCGCTCCCGCTGCTGGAGCGGCCGCGCTGGATGGGGGGCCTGCGTGTGCAACTGCTGATAGTGGGGTGCCTGGCTAGGGGCCAGGCATTTGGGTCGTTGGTGCCAGTGCCATACACCCTAGGAGCGTTCCATGCCGACCCTCCCTGCCTTCCCACCCCTGCTTGCGCGGCGCAGGTGGGCGCTGCCAGGCGGCACCTGCGTGGATGTCTCTGAGAGCTCCGACAGCTCCCTCATTTCGGCGGTGTGCGGCGGCAACCTGTATGCCGTGAGCACCGCAGGTGCGCCCAGCTGCTGGCTGCCTGGCTTGGCCATGTGTGCATTGGAAAGAAACACGCAGTGCGGGTGTGCCACTGCTGATGCTGGCTGCATTCTCTCTGCCTTTCTGCCAGAATTGGCCACAGGCTGGGCCCTGCCTGCCACCCCGCGGCCCGCCTCACTGCTCCCCGCTGGCGGTGAATTGCTTGCAGCCGGAGGCTTCACGATGCTCCTCCCCTCGGTCTGCTCCGCGGCGTTTGACGATGCGGGCTTCCTGTGGGTGTCGCGCCTCTCGGTGAGGGGGGAGCAGTCGGCGAATGCCAGCCACCACCCGGGGCGCTCCCGACGCCCCTGGCCGACATGGGCTGTTGAGCAGTTGCCGCATGAAATTGTTTGTTGTGTGAATTCAACCCAGGATCACCCAAGGCAGCACACTCAACTCTCTGCTTGCCTGCCTGCCTTCCTGCCTGCCTGCGTGGTGCAGGACTCGGGCTGCCAGGGCATCAGCTTCGTCCGCCCTGGCCAGCTGGTCGCACACCTGCAGCAGGTCGGCAGCGGCAACCCGCTGGGTGGCGTGCCATCCTCCAAAGCCAGGTGGGGAGGGGCACCCTGGCACTGAGGTCCCGGGCTGCGTCACGCCGCTGTCCTGCGCCCTTTCCGACCGGCCAGCCGCATAGTGGCCTTGCCGGCCGGCACGCTTGCCTGTGCTCCTGGGGGACTGCCGAGCCCTTGGTGTGCTGCATACCACAGCGTGCCACTGCCTGGCTGGCTTGCCTACGTCTCCCTGCTCCTTGTGCCGCCCCGGTCCCATGATGCAGCAACAACAGCTGCGACCTAATTGAGGCCGGTGCTGTGACTGGCACTCGGGCCAAGGTGTACTGCTGGAAGCGCGCCGAATCCCAGCTGCAGAGTGAGTTCCGCTGTGGTACCGCCTCGTTGGCCCCGCATGACCGTGCATGTAGTGCATGAATGCCCGCCTCGGTCATGCGTGTGCTCCGCTTCTCCATGCCTGCTGCTGAATGCATGCACCCTGCGGCCCCCGGTTGTCGCAGCGTTGACACTCGACACGGCTGAGCCAGCGGAGCCAGCGGAGCCACCGTGAGTGTAGCACCTGGAGCGGCTCCCGCCCTGCGCGCCCGCACACCACAACACCCACCTACATGCCTGTGCCGTGCCCATGTTGCCACATGTTCCAAATGCATGATCAAGGTTTGCTGGTGGCCCCTCTTCCTGCAGGCCACCGCATCCTCTGCGGCCGCCCCTGCCGCCGACTGGAGGGGCAAAGATAGCCCCACCTCCTCCTGACGAGTCGCCACCCCCGCCCCCACCTCCCCTAGACTCCCGGTTCCCGCCGCCGCCACCATCGCCGCCACCCTCTCCTCCGCGCCCACCCCTCGGAGATGTGAAGATTGCGCCACCTCCTCCTGACTCACCTCCCCCACCCTCACCGCCACCGCCAAGCCCACTTCCTCCCTCTCCTTTGCCTCCCTTGCCGCCGCCACCCAGCCCGCCTCCGCCCAGCCCACTGCCTCCCTCCCCTTCACCACCCTCTCCACAACC